CGCTGAAACCAGTCGGTTCTTCTGATACTGATTTCATGGGTGAATGGCAACTAAAAGCGCCAGAGGAAAACCCCAACCAGTGGATGGTTTGAACATAATGGTATGCACATTGAAATCGACTGTAAGATCGATCGTGAGATCGAACGTGGGATCGATAGCGAGGACGATAGTAAGGCCGATCGGGAGACCGATGATGAAACCAATTCAGTGAGATCGATAACGAGATCGACCGTGAGATCGCTCGTGCGATCTATAGTTAGATCGATTGTAATATCGATAGTCAGATCGATTGTGAGATCGATCGTGCGATCGGTAGAAAGATGGGTAATGAGATCGATAGTGGGACCGACAGGTAAGGAGATCGACCAGGAACCCGGGAACCCGGAAATCTGGGAACCCCGCCGCCCAGCGAAATCGGCCCGGAACTGGGAACCCAGGAACCCGGAACTGGGACCCCAGAAACCCGGCGGCCTACCGAAATCGGCCGCCCAATTTCGCCAAATCCTTCAAGATCCGCTTGGACCCCTTCGGTGCAAGCATTGGTCGGGGAACATTTGGCTGCGACATTGCCAACCCACCTTCACCACAACTCTCATGCGCAACGTTCAACAAACTTGCGCTGCACTTCCATGCGAGTAGGCAAGCACCGGATAGTCTGAACGGATGTCTGAAAACTGAGTTCGCGAAGGCAGCGCTTGCCAACATCATTAAACGGTTAAACAAATCGCCAAAATGTTCCGTAGTTTGAAAGGGCCTGAGCAACAACTGAAAGAAGAAAGGATACGTTTCACCCAAACAAATTACCCAAGGTACTTAATGACCCTCACAACTCCATTCTAGCAGTTGCAACTGTTCTGGTATCGGGCAAGCTGTTGGTACATGATGCATGTCAACACACATTTCGCAAGCAACTTTCGCTCCTCATGACTGACAAGATTCTGGTCCAGAATAACGAATTTCGTGCGGTCGTTGCTGGAACAGCGGGTGGTAGCGCAAATCCTAGTTTCCTGTACCAGTTGCAGCTTCCAGTTTCCAGTGTTACAGTTCTGCTTCTTGCTGCTTACTGTTCCTTGTTGATGGACCGCGCGAGGGGGTGGAGGCCCAAACGGGCAGGTTTAGCACGCCTGGAGCGTGAACTCTGAATTGCTGGGGTGGAAAAACACAAAGGATTTGCTACATTTCTTAAATTCAGTGGCACCCCTCACGCAGATCGGCGGGGTCAGGGTCCAAAAACATATGGGATGTGCTACATTTCTAAAATTCGGTGGCACCCCTCACGCAGATCGGCGGGGTCAGGGTCCAAAAACACATGGGATTTGCGACATTTCTGACATTCGGTGACACCCCTCACGCAGATCGGCGGGGTCAGGGTGCAAAAACACAAATGATTTGCTACATTTCTGAAATTCGATGGCACCTCTCGCGCAGATCGGCGGGGTCAGGGTCCGAAAACCCAAGAGATTCTCAACATGTCTGAAATTCGGTGTCACCCTTCACGCGGATCGACAGGGTCAGGGTCCAACAACACATGGGATTTGCCACATTTCTGAAATTCCGTGGCACCCCTCACGCAGATCTGCGGGGTCAGGGTCCAAAAACACATGGGATTTGCCACATTTCTGAAATTCGGTGGCACCCCGCAAGCAGATCGGCGGGGTCAGGGTCAAAAACACATGGGATTTGCCACATTTCTGAAATTCGCTGGCACCCCTTACGCAGATCGGCGGGGTCAGGGTCCAACAACACCAAGGATTTGCCACATGTATGAAATCCGGTGGCACCCCTCACGCAGATCGGCGGGGTCAGGGTGCAAAAACACAAATGATTTGCCACATTTCTGAAAAAGCAGATCGGCGGGGTCAGGGTCCGAAAACCCAAGGGATTCTCAACATTTATGAAATCTGGTGGCACCCCTCACGCGGATCGACAGGTACAGGGTCCAACAACACATGGGATTTGCCACATTTCTGAAATTCGGCGGCACCCCTCACGCAGATCCGTAGGGTCAGGATCCAACAACACAGGGGATGTGCCATATTTCTGAAATTCGGCGGCACCCCTCACGCAGATCCGTAGGGTCAGGGTCGAAAAACAAACAGGTCGCAACACTGCTTCACGGCGGCGCCCAGACCTCATGATTTAGCTTTTGCATCTCCCATTCTCCGAGACAGGGGGCGGGCGGCATGGGGCGAAGCCCTTACGGATAGCTTCTTCAGCGGAGCCACGCTTCGCCTAAGGGTTGCTTTCCAATTGCGACATTTGATTTGCCACCCAGCGTAATTGTCAAGTGGCAGCTTGTTCTCGGCGATGGAAGGAAGAAGCGAAAGACAACGACACACTGGCTTTTCCCTCATCGTACCAGCACGCCCCTCAATCGGCTGTTCTGGAAGTCGTTCAAAGTGAAACATGCCGTTGCCACAGAAACAGCTCGAGAAGAGGGAACAATCTCCTGCGAGCGTGTCAGAAACAGGCAGCGAAACAACGACTGCTGTGTACCAAAATGCCCGAATAGATGGGGTCGCCGCCGCTGTGCTCCACACAACGACAGAAATGGAAAACGGTTGAAGGAGGAGAGAGACGACGAGGAGGGAGGAACTCAACGAGCGGCGCAGACAGCGGCAACAACAGCCGCAAGTCCAGGATGCCCTGCGCTCGCACTGAGGGGGAACGTACGGGGGGATCGGCTCAGGAGGGGAACCATCGACCTGGAGTCGGCGACGCGTCGCCGACAGGCCCGCGATAGCGAATCCGAACGTTCCTGGGCGGCGTAATCTATCGGGCCCCTGTCGGTGATCCATGGGCGATCGGGGTCGACTCGTCCCCTCCTGAGCCCATGCCCCTGAGGCACGCTCCCGGGCGTCGTGGCTGAGGGAGGCCAACGCGTCGACCGGTCTTGGCTGTGGTGCGCGACGCCTGGTGGCGGCGGCACAGATGAAGCGCGTGCAGAGACGGGGGGCCGGCGCGCGTGCGGCGCCCGCCGCGGCCTCGCGAGACGGAGGTCCGACGGCGGGGGGAAGGAGGAGAGATGCCGCCCGCCTGCGGCGGGAAGCTGCTGCTCGTCGAGCAGCTGTGGCCCGCCCGCCCGCCCTTTTCCCCCCCTCTGTTCCCCGACTCCTCACACGGCCGGCGGCTGTGAGAGCCAGCCTGCGCACCCCCGACCGCGCCTGGGCGGACGCCGACGACGGGCCGACGACGGAGTCGACGGCGACCTCGAGGTGCCCACGCCGCCGCGGGCGACGCGAACGCAGGCGCAGCCGCAGACCGGGCGCCTGCGGCAGTCCGAGGCGCCAGCAGCGACGGGGACTCCGGCGTTTGGCGCACGGTGACGCGCCGCCACCAGGCGTCAGCGCGGCCGCGGAGGCGACCCGCTGGCTCCGTATATAGCGGGCTGGCGCTGTGTGGCGGGGGCGCGGCGCTGGGCGGCGCGGCGGCTGGCGCGGCCCCCGCAGCTGGCGCGCGAGACAGCGACGGTGCTCGCGAGCGCGCCCTGGACGCGGCCGCGGCGCTTTGCCGGGCCGAGGCTGGCTTGGCCAGCCTCTCGCGCCCGGGCAGGGCGGACGCGCTGCGAGCGCAGGCGAGGCCTGGGCGAGCGGTCCCCAGGGCCCGACGGTCGGTGCTCCTGCTCGAGGCGGCGCTGGCTGATCCGGCCGCGTTGGGGCCCGCTGCGCTGCTGGCCGTTCGCGAGGCCGCGAACGCCTTCTGAGGCGTGCGCGCGGCCGTTGCCCTGCGACGGTGGTCTTGCCGCGCGGAGGGAGCCTGAGCCCCGCGAAGCCGGGGCGCACTGAGCTGAGGCCGTTGGCCCGCCGCTGCGCTGCGCGGGGCGCCCAGCGGGAAGGCCGCGCCGCGCCCGCCCTCCCTCCCGCCTCCCTCACCTCCGCGGACTCTGTTGTTTCGTCTCTGCGAAACTCGTCGCTTCTGCTGCTCTTGCCGCAGGAGTGTCGCTCCGCCCCGCGGTGCGGCGACTCGAAAAGGCTCGGGACGTTGAGGTCTGGGCACTGCGAAATGCAGAACGAGTCGCGCCGAAGCGTGATGAACCAAAGCCCACGGAGCGGCATCCAAAAGTTCCCGACTGTGCGCCGCATAATTCGCACATGCAGAATGCAATGACTTCTGTCCGGGATCCACAGTGGCAAACGTGGTTTTGAACACATTCTCCAGCGCTTCCCCCCGCCCTCGCTCACCCCCTCCTCACGCCAGCTCCATCAAAGCACGACCACTGGACAAAAACAAATGCATGCGTGGCTCAACCGTATTCCGTGCCGGCCCAGCTTCCGTGCCGGCGCGGCTCCACCGGCTTCAATGCCGGCCGGCTGGGGACACGAAAAAATACAAAGTCGAACGCAAACGCTCATCCATATGCTCCTTCCCTCTCATCTCTCCTCCTCCTCCTCCTCCTCCTCCTCCTCCTTCTCCTCCTCCTCCTCCTCCCCCTCCTCCTCATCTCCTCCTCATCCTCTCCCTCCTCCTCGTCCGTTCTCTTCGTCCTCCTCCTCGTTGCCCTCCTGCACCTCCTCCTCCTCCTCCTCCTCCTCCTCTCCTCCTCCTCCGCCTCCTCCTCCGCCTCCTCCTCCACCTCCTCCTCCTCCTCCTCTCCTCTCTGCCCGCCCCTCCTCATATGGCGCGTATGCACCTCCCGCCAGTTCCATCACCGCGCGAACCGGATTCCGTGCCGGCTGGGTGCAGAAAAATAAGAATATGAATGAATGCTAATGCTCCTCCACCTCCTCCTTCTCTCCCCCTCCTCACCCTCCTTCCCCTCCTTCCCCTCCGCCTCTTCCTCCTCCTCATCATCCTCATCATCTTCCTCTCTGCCAACCCCTCCTCGCCGTCCTGCGAATAAGTATGAGTCATCTCGGGCGTGTGGCTGCCAGGTAGGCATTGCCCGATGAGAACACTCGCCACCATGGGAGGGCGCGCGCCCCAATGCTTCGCCCGGAGATGCCATGAGGCCCGCCCGCGCATGCTGGAGGCTCTCTCTCTCCCTCTCGATGGCCAACTGTTCACGCCGTCATCCCGAAGGGGGTCGACGGGGTCTTCAAGGGGCTGGAGCACCTCGACTGGGGCCCCGAGGGGCCGTCCCCGCACTGCGAGGCCGTGGGGGTCGTTGCCCCGGCGTCGCTGTCCGAGGCGAAGACGGACACGCGGTCCTGGCCGGCCTGCTTCCCGCTGGCCACGAGCTGGCCCGCGGCCGCGGCGGCCTCCTTCCGGCAGATGATGGCCCGCACCGCCTCCACGCCGTGGTGGCCGGGGCGGCAGAGCGCCGCGAAGTCCGTGCGCGTGAGGAGGCCTCTTTGAAGAGGGGACCGGCAAGGGGGGGGGCGGCGCTGCGGAGGGGGTAGGCAAAAAGCTCTCGAGAGATCGCGAAGTGCAGTCGGCCCGTCTCATGAGGATGCACGGTGGAGATGCAGGGGGCTCGGACGGCCATGTCGAAGCTTTTCGAGCGGGGCGGCGGCCAGGGAGAGTGGCCCAAGGATGGACCGAGGAGGCAAGGATGCAAGTGTCATGTCAGCTTGTGACTAACAAATCCGGGGGGGGCGCGTGTTTACAAAAAATAGTTCCCCTGGTCGGGCGAATCGCGGGGTGGCGCCCGCCAGACTGAAAATCAACGGGGAGGCGCCGGTGATGACCGCCGACGCCCGGCCGCCAACGATGGGCAAGGGGGGGTGTTTGGAGGCAAGGGCGAGCCAGGGCGCTCCTTTTTCTGTCGAGCCGATGCGGGCCTGCGGGCAAGGCGGGCTGGACGAAAGTGGGGCGCAGCAAAGGGGGGATTTGCCAAGCAGCTGACGTCACAGATTTTTCCAGCGCCTCCTGGCGCCGAAAGCGGCCATGCGTCGAGGACTGGCCTCCTCCTCCTCCTCTTCCTCCTCCTCCTCCTCCTCCATCTCCTGCTCCTCCTCCCTCTCCTCCTCCTCCTCTTCCTCGTCCTCCTCCTTCTCCTGCTTCTCCCCTCTCCCTCTCCTCCCTCCTCCTTCCCCCTGGTGCGCGTGATTAAAAAAATATCGCGCCCCGCGGGGTCTATTCATCAGCCCCCGGGGGGGTTGGCCTTTCGTTAATCACAAGCTGACTTTACCCTTTGGGAAGAGGCCCATCCTTCCTGTGCGGGCTGACTGTAAACTTCGACGTAGAATCGGCGACGCGTCGCCCAGAGAACACGGCGACTGGCCTCCGCCAGCGACTCCGCACGGCGCCGGGCGGGGTGTGAGATCGCGCCCATCTCGGCGATGAGCGAGCGATTTGGGGTCGATGAGTCCCCCCCTTGAGGAGGAGGAGGAGGAGGAGGAGGAGGAGGAGGAGGAGGAGGAGGAGGAGGAGCCCATCCCCCCGCCGAGCGTTGCCCCTGAGCCTTGCAGAATGTGCTTGTGGTCCACGACGGACAGGTGCTGGAGGCCGGACGCCCTGAAGTGGCGGTAGGCGCGCATCACGGGGGTGTTGCAGTGTGTCACCTCGGGCGCGGTGTCCGCCAGGCTGACCACGGCGATGAGCTCGCCGGTGCCCACCAGCTCGGTCTTTTGCTCCACCAGGAGCAGCAGCTTGGTCCTGTTCACGATTCCCACCAGTCGGCCATCGGCGTCCACGACCGGGTACGCGCTGAATGACGTCTGCAGCAGCAGCTGCATCACCTTCTCTAGCGGCTCGAAGGCCCTAAGAACGATCACCTCCGTGGTGGCGACGTCGTGAACGGTCAGCCCTTCGAGGACCAATAGGTGGTCCTCGCTGAGTCCGTCCTCGAGGATGTGCACCTCGGGGTTGCTTTCCAGGACAATGTCGTAAACGCTTGGGCCGAAGAGGTCCGCCACCTGTTTGCTAGACATGATGACAAGCATCAGCGGCAGCAGCATGTACATGTTGTTGGTAATCTCCAGGAAGATCACCGCCAGAGAGATAGTCATGCGGCTGAAGCCTGCCAGCGCGCCCGCCGCCCCCATCAGAGCGTACACGTCAGGCTTCACGGAGAGGCCCGAATCGCAGAGCTGCTGGCCAACGGCCCGCCCGAGGCAGGCCCCCGCCAAGATGTTTGGAATGAACAGGCCGACGGGCATGGCGGAACCGAAGGTGACGATGGTGGTCCCCCACACGACCGCGAAAGACCCGAGCAGGCTCCCGACGCCGAGTTGGGCGCCCGACGCCATCTCCCTGCTGAAGAGCGTCTTGATGGCGGCCTCCTTCGGCGAGAGGAGGATGAAGCCCATGGTGGAGAACTCGCCAGGCTGGCAGATCCCCCCCGTCACGTCCGGGGGGCCCTCGGCCGAGCCGCCGCCGAGCCTGCGATGTTCCTCCGAGCCAGCTGCGCCAGCCTCCTCGCACCCAGCCAGCACGGCCGGCCAGAGGCAGACGCACGTGGTGAACACCACAACGATGGCGACCTCGAGCAGGCGCATTCGCTTGGTGGCGGACGTGGGGCTTCCGAGCTGGAATATCCGCCGCCGCACTCTGAGCGTCGTCTGCACCGCGTTGCAGAACAGGGCGCCCAGCAGGCCCGTGACGATGCCAAGGCACGCGAAGGTGCCCAGCTCCCAGGTCTCGAAGCTGGCGTCCTTGTCGGGGAACTCGATGAAGCCAGAGCCGCTGATGGACCGCAGGCCGCTCTTGATGAACTTGGCCAGCACCGCGGCCACCATGGCGCCAAAGAAGGCCCGCCAGGTCAGGCTGCGGCTCCAGAACGAGGACGCCTCCTCCAGGCTGAACAAGATGCCGCCCACCGGGGCCCCGAACGCCGCCGCCACGCCCATCGCGGCGCCCTGGGAGATGAACTCGCAGCGGTTGCGGTGGCCCTGGAGCACCGGCGGCCACCTCCACGAGCGGCGGAGCACGACGGGCGGCGGGCCCTCCGCGAAGGCCGACGCCACGATGCCCCCCAGGTGCGCAAAGGGGCCCTCGGTGCCGGCGAAGAGGCCCGAAGAGGTGACGAGGAACAGCCCCACGGAGCGCGAGGCCCATGTCCTGAACGTGAAAGCCTGGGGCATGTTGATGCCGTTGAGGTACGCCTTGATCTCTGGGATGCCGCTGCCTCCGGCATGGGGCGCCACGTAGGTCACGAGCAGCGCGGCGCCCAGAGAGCACGGCAGGGCGTACGACAGCAGGAACATGAAGGCATGAAAGTGGCCAACGGTCGATGACTGGCTCAGTTCCTTCACCACGTCCACCTTCCAGGCAGACACGGCGTGGGAAGACAGAATGATCGCTGCAGCCTGGGCGGCGATGATGACGGCGGCCGCGGCCGTCACCAGCCACTTCATCAACGAGACCTTCCCCAAATACTTTTCCAACTCCTCCTGGGCCAGGCTGCTGGGCAAGCCCGGGCCTGGGAAGAGAGACGGGGGGCCCTGCGGTGAAGGCTTGGGAGATACTACGGCGGCGTCAAACTCGTCTCTCTTGGCCAACTTGTTCGAGCCCTTCGAACAGGTGGACACCTTCGTTAACCGACTGCCCCTGATAATGGTCCCTGGGGGATAAGAAAGTTCGGGGACTGGCGGAGATAATGAACGATTTTCCTGGCGGGTGATGATGACGGTGATGATGATGATGAGGATGATGAGGATTATGATGATCCTGGGCGTTCGTGTAGACTAACCTTGTACATCTTGGCAAAACACTGACTCGACAGATCTCAAATCAAGGCGCTCGTGTACACTGACCTTCTAAATCCGAGGCACACAACTGACTCGACAGATCTCGAGTCTGGGCGCTCGTGTACACTGACCTTGAAATTATTGGAACAAAGCTGACTCGACGGATCTCGAGTCTGGCCGCTCGCGTAGACTGACCTTGTAGATCTTGGCACAAAACTGACTCGACGGATCTCGAGTCCAGGCGCTCGTGTGGACTGACCTTGTAGATCTTGGCACAAAACTGACTCGACTGATCTTGGCACAAAACTGCTCGACTGACCTTGTAGATCTTGACACAAAACTGATTCGACTGCTCTCGAATCTCGTGGCTACAAATGGCCTGCGCAAGAAGAGGTCCTTGGCGCTCCTGGCCAAGAAACCTCTCTTGCGCACGACCTCGAACCATTTGTCCATGCAGGCTCGGCACCCTTTGGAGCCGTCCTTGCACGGGAGGCACTTGGTGCAGGCCTGGGCGGCAGCGCTTGCCTCCTCGAGGGTGGCGTGCTTCGGCTCGACCGCCGTAGGGTCCTGAAATGGTGAGACCACGATTGCCATGCCCAGCTTTTTTGATGCTGTTGCTAGTCAACATAAGATGATATCAACTTCGATTCGCAACTTCACCCGGGGATTATCCAGTTCGGCCTCACCGCCTCTCTCCACAATCAAATCCTAGTGGCACGGGAAAAAACTCAGCAAGTTAAGGGGGATATACTTTATTATCGGGGGCAGGGGGTTAAACGATTGGCAACGCCCGCTGTTGACACCCGGCAAGTGAGCTGCTGCTCGAGCTGAACCGCCTCGTAATCGTTTTCGTAGGCCCGAGAGGTGAACTTCTTCAGCATCTTCTCTGACTCGTCGTGCAACATCCGCTCGACCATTTCAGGCGTGCACTCCGCAGCGCCAGAAGGCAGCTGATCCAAGCATATGTGCGAGGACGAGCGACGCATGCTGGCCGAGTGGGCGCTCTTCGCCACGTCGCCGCTGTTGAAGGAGGGCCTCCTGCGCCGCGACGCCGCGTCGGACAGGTCAGTCTGGTGGGAGGACGAGCGGCTGATCGAGCGTTCTTTGGCCCCTCGTGCCGCAGAAGCGCGGAACGCCTTGGCGGACATGCCGGGCTCGGACACCGAGCCGGGTATGCCGGTGCTGGCCGAGTCCGTGCAGTGCTGGCCCTCGCCCGCGGGCGCGTAGCGCGCCCTCGGCGTCCCGGAGCCCCGGGAGGCGCGCTCGAGGAGGCCACCCTTCGGCGGCGTCGGCCCGGCGATGCCGCTCCCCGGGGCCTCTGCGGGAGCGCCGGCGGCGGCGGCGACGGCGCCGCCGCAGGGTGGCCCGGCCGTGCCCTCCACCGTGCCGCGGCAGGCCGCCGCGGCCGGCGCCTCGGGCGGCATGCTCGGGGGCACCGGCAGTGGGGCATCAGTGGCGGGCCTGTCAGGTCGGGCGCGCGGGGGAGGGATGGCAAAGGGGTCTTCGAGTGTGAGGCTCAAGGTTCAAAGGTTGTCGGGCATTTTGGCCGTGCCTCGCCGAGAGCCCTCCTGAGGATCTCATGGCTGGGGCCTTGGGGGGGGGGGGGATGGCAGAGGGGGATTTCTAGCGAGTCGGCTCACGCAGCTGGCTTCCCCAGCGACCCCCCGCACCGAAGGAACGCCCACGCATCAAGGAACGCGCCGGGCGGCGAGACCGAAATCAGATGCGCGCAGGAGGTTTCGTACCCCCCAGGCATGCGACATCTGATATTTTCAGGACGGTGTCCCTGGAAGTCCCGACCCTTTCCTCGGGACCCGGCTTTCGTCCTTAGTCGTTTTTTGACGGTCCCGAGGCCCGGCGAGGGCCCCCCGAGGCCGAACATTGTCAAATACCTCCCGTCCTGCTTTTTGTGACGCCGCGATCATGTCTGCATGGGCCCCTTCCTCTTCATCCCCCCCTTCTCGCCCGAGAGGAGCCTGGCGGCCTGGGCCACCTCCATTGGCGCCGGCGCGCGGCGATGCAGCTCGCGCTGCCCCAGTTGGGGTGGAGGCCGCCGCGCGCGCGCGCGCGAGCGCAAGGCTGCCTCCGCCAGGGAAGGCCGCAGGGGGAGGCCTCCGTCGGCACCTGGGCCCACGCAGCCGCGGCGGGAGGCGCAGACGTCCGCCCAGCGCGAACCAAACACCACGCCTGAGGTTTTTGGTCGCTGGGCCCCCGGAGATCCAACCTAGTGAAAACATCAAGACGGAGGTTTTTCGCAGTTTCTGGCCTCCAGGGGCCCTCGCTGGGCCACGGGACCGTCAAAAAACGACTCAGGATAGAAAACCGGTCCTGGGGAATGGGTCGAGAATTCTCGGGACCCCGGATTGAAAAAATCACGACTTCGGATCTCTGGACCCCGGGACCGTCCAAACCGGCTCAGCATGCAGAGCCTGGCCCCCGGGAAGAGGGCAAGAACTCTGGGGAGCCACTTTGTGACGTCGTCGGACGCCGGGGGAGGGCGAGGCATTGTGGGCCTCTTGGGGCCCTCGCTGGACCCCGGGACCGCCAAGACCCACCCAGGATGCAGAGCCCGGTCCCGGGGAAGAGGACACGAACTCTGGGGAGCCGCTTCGCGATGCAAATCGCGACGTCGGACGCCTGGGGAGGGCGAGGGGGGCGAGGGGATCGGCAGCAGCAGCGGCAGCAGCAGGTGCAAGAGAGGAGCGCGGGGAGCCGCAAGTCTCGGATTGCGTTATTCCTGGCCTTTCACCTTTCCATCTCCCCCTCCTTCACTGTCCCCCCCAGGAGGAGGAGGAGGAGGAGGAGGAGGAAAAGGAGGAGGAGGAGGAGGAGGAAGAGGAGGAGGAGGAGGAGGAAGAGGAAGAGGAGAGGAGGAGGAGGAAGGAGGAGGAGGAGGAGGCCACCCTCCTCATCGCCACCTCCCCTTCCGCTCGGCCGGGTTCCTGCGCAACGGTGGACACGGGCACCATCACCATCCGGGGCCTCGGCTGCTCCTGTGCCGCCCGCCCGCTCCTCCTCCTCCTCCTCCTCCCCTCCTCCTCCTCCCTCCTCTACCCCTCCTCCTCCCCTCTTCCTTCCTGCCTCCTTCCTTCTGCTCCTGCTCCTGCTCCTGCTCTCCTCCTCCTCCTCCTCATCCTCCTCCTCCTCCTTCTCCTCCTCTCCTCTCCCCCTCTTCCTTCCTCCTGCTCCTGCTCCTGCTCCTGCTCCTGCTCCTGCTCCTCCTGCTCCTGCTCCTCCTCCCTCCTTTTCCTCCTCCCCTCCTCCTCCTCCTCCTCCTCCTCCTCCTCCCCCACTTCGCAATAGCGCCTCCTCCATTCTCTTTCCTTCTGAATAACTCCTCTGTCGAACCCAGAGGCCGGTCGAACGGACGGGCCGGGCGTTTCTTCGCAGACTTCCTCACCACTTATGACCCTGAAGCTTAGAAGCTGGCAGCAGCTTCGCAGATGGAGGGCGGGCCGCTTCCAACATGTGGCTCTCGCCCTAGCGCCGCGCACATTCGTTTTAAACACATGCAAGGGTTTCACGGGTTGAGGGCGGGTCGTTTTCAAAATGTGGCTCTCGCCGTAACGCCGTGCACATTCCTTTTACAAGTCTGTAACAACTTCATGGATTGAGGGCGGGTGGTTTTGAACATGTGGCTCTCGCCGTGGCGACGCGCGCATTCGTTTGAATGCAAGTTGCATGAGTTGCACGGGTTGAGGACGGCTCCTTGTCAAAATGTGGCTCTCGTTTTAGGGCCGCGCGCATTCGTTTTAAATAGTTACAAGATTTCTACGGGTTCTGATGATCAACGTGCCAAACATAGTGTTTTGGAAGGACTCAGGATTGTGAGGGCGCCATATGTACGTTGACTCGCGGTGTTGAAGTCTCAGGAATGGCGTTTTGGCGCGATTTCGGATCGTCAGATGCTGATTTGTAACGTTGGGATCCCGAAAACCGTGTTTTCGCATGTTTCAAAGTTTTTCAAACGGTTCCCCCCCAACGAGACAGTCCCCCGTGGAAATGAACCCGTGCAAATGCCTATGAAGCGGGAGCTTGGACGGAGGGATTATTCCAACGTCGTTGATGAGGCTTGGCTTTCCACTGGTCCTCCTCCTCCTCCTCCCTCCATCCGCCCTCGCTTTTTCCTTCCCTCCCTCCTTCCGTTCCCCCCTCCCCTCCCTCCCCTACCTTCTCCTCCTCCTCTTCCTCCTCCTCCTCCTCCGCCCCCTATCCGCATTCCACATGAATGCACAACCCCATTTTGCCACGGAGCCGGGCGGTTGCCTCCACATTCGAGACCTGCCATCCCACGTGTGCCAAAATATGACAAGTATATGATATCGCCTCAGCGTGGACATGACGTCGTCCATGCTGCGAAACACGCGTCAATCATGGGACGGGGCGCTCGTCCCACGCGAAAGGCCGAATTGTCGCTGTAGCCCCGGCGCAGCGCTTATTCTTGAAACTGTCTGGGTTTCTGTTTGGGCGTGGCGCACATTTGTCACACGTAACTGCGTCGACCCGCGAGCGGGCGATGATGTTGCTCTCGCCTCGGCGCCGCGCACTTTTCGCCTGACGGTGGCACTCCCGCCTCGACGCGGCGCATAGCTCTTAATCGTTAATTGTTGGGGGTCCGCGCGAGTGGGTAATGTGTCGCCCGCGCCCAAACACCGCGCACATTGGGCTCGGAAGTGGTGTCCAGCGGGGGCGCGGCGCATGGCTCGTTCGCCGAATCGCATGAAATCGACAGCGGAAGCGGGGCCGCGCGAGAGCAGACGAAGTAGCGACCTCGCCCAAACGCCGCGCAGAGCGTGAGCAAAAGCGGCACTGCTGTGCCAACGCGACGCATGCTTCGTCTTCGCCGCGCCCATCGGAAGTTGTGCCACTCCCGCCTCCGCGCGGCCTGCGTAGTTTTCCCTTCGCCAAGTTGTCGGAAGCGCGGCCGCGCGCGAGCGCCTTCCTTTTGCGAGGGTGGGGGCGCGTTCCAATCCCAATATCATGCTGTGGAAAGAAATGGGAATAGGCGGGGGCCTCTGACTCGCTCGACCTGGCTAAATTGACTCCTTCTCCTGCTCCTCCCCCTCCACCTCCACCGCGGTGACGGCGACGGTGACGGTGACCGCGCGAGTGTCCACGCGAGTGGACTAAGCGGGGCGGGGCCGGAGCGCCCACAAGCACGCAGTATATGACAAATGGAAGATAGAGGCGGCCAGCAAGCACCTCGTGAACTGACAAAGCCATGCGCTATCTCACTCCACGTTGGTGTTCTGGTCAAGTCCGTCCAAGCATCGGCACCCGCTGCAAGGCCCATGCAGTTCTGCACGTGCTGGCGAACGTTATCGATCCATCGACTTTTTGATCTAGCTTGTCTGCGCGCTGGCTGTTGGGGTGCCGCGTGCAAATCTGGCACGCAAAACAAAGCTGAAAGTCCACTTGTGATGATCAACTGTGGCTCGTGCCGCCCATATCCACTTCCTCCGGCTACGTGTGGTAATCCAACCGTCGATCTTCAAGCGCCCTAAAAGGTGTTGCACTTCGTGAGTAGCTCGCGGTATCCAATACGTCCATGGCTCCAAAAACACCCTTGCTCTGGTTGTCGTAATCCAATGCCTCGTCGTCGGGTGTTCGGGAGTCACGAGGAAAATGTGTTACTGTCGCCACTGGCTCACTCTCTTGGCGACGCCGTGGGATCATCCGTAGCATTTGCCGTTGTGCTCGTCGTAGCCGGTCCTCCAACTCGCTTGTGAAGACTCAAGAAGTACATACAGCACGGTCGGGGTAGCTGTGCCGTTGAAATAAGGTACTCGGCCGTGCAGAGAAAAAGAGCGTGTAGTCAGTTCGCGGCGAAGTGCGTGAAACTTGCGCCACCCTGCAGCAATGCGGCTGTCCACCTCACATGTATGCGGGTCCTGGAAAGAGAATCTCTGCCCAAGTATTTCTGCGAGGCTCCAAATTGTAAGATCCCAACCTTCATATCTGGGTCGGACAAGAATTCCGGCTTTGACCGCGCCCGCCTTTGCATCTGATTGTGCAAGAAGTTTGTCTTGTCTGGGTGCATTTCGCGTTCGACTTTGGCGGCTTCGTTCTAACTGCACGAAACATGAATTAGCTTGCTTTAAACGTGTGGCAAAAAAACGACGTCATCAGCGAAGCGTGAATGCGTGAGTCGCGTGCCAGCGAAATCCTGACAAATACCACATGTTCGTCGCAACCACTTTGTCTGAACGCTCCGGAACACGGCTTCCAGTAGAGAGTTGAACCATCAAGAACTCAATGGGTCTCCTTGCTTCGTTCGCGCTGGTTGGGGAATTGCTTGCTTTCCATGTCCGTAGATACCGTGGCTGTCTGGTTGGCGTACGCGCGACGAAGAATTGAGATATAACCATTCGAACCTCCTTGCGCGGCCAACGCCTTCCATAGTTCACGATGCGACACAGTGTCGAAAGCCTTCTTAGAATCGAGCGTCGCCACCCACACTGGAACCTGCAACTGTTCAACTTTCTCTGGTATCAATGAGAACGTAAATAAGTGGTCATCAATAAGTGGTCGCCATAATCCCGCTTGGTGTGGAGGCTGATGGGAATCCAGAGTCGGTTCGAGCCTGTTGTACAAGAGTTTACAGAACAGTTTGAACAAAGGAGGAATGCTTGATTGTGATGGGGCGATAATTCTTTGGGTGGGATGGGTCGCCAGACTTGCAAACAACTGTGATGTTAGCTCGGCGCCGTTGTTCTGGAAGTTCTGCTTCCGGCTTGAGTTCGTCATTCTACAGCTTCAACCGCGAGCGTTAGCTAATTCGACAGGCTTGATCGCCCCATTTCCGGATCTCTGAGGGTTGAGCGAACGGACAAGCGGTCTGGGCTGTCAGTGCCCCCCCCCGCTCTTCAAATCACCGACCTGGTCATCCCCCCATCCTCATCCGGCTGTTGCTCTTCCTCCGCGCCCTGCACGATCAAGAAGTGCAGGTGCCCAGCGAAGGCGGCCTCGTCCGAGGTAACCCGGCTCGGCTAACGCATGGCCGGCTACAGTGGTTGACTCGGGAACTCAGGGCCCTAAAGATCAGCGAGTGTGCTGCTATACTCTACTTCGGGGCGTGGCTCGTCATCGAGGGCAGAGTCGAGCACTCCACGCTGCAGAGGGCGGGGCCGGCCCCGCGGCTCCTTCGACAGTGCGCCCCATCACGACCCAGGACGGCATTGACGTCATGTGGGGCCGGAGGGCATGGGCGTCATGTGGTGACCGAGTGGCATGGTCATGGACAGCGACGGCATTCGAGCGGGCTTGGAGAAAATCAGCAGGGGCACCTCGACGAGATCGGGGCTGGGGCGCGGAAGTCCGTTTACATCGGATGCCACAGATCCCGACTTTGCCTGTGACAGGCGGGGTCAAGCGTGTGGTCGGACTTTGGGCGCGCTGCGCTGCGCCATCGGACGTGGGAGCGCCGATGGCCGTGTCTGAGGAGCATCGCGCTGCAGCAGTGCGCAGCACGGCGAGCAGCATGCCGTGGTCGCGAGGCCACCTTCTTCCAAGGGTTCGAGCCCAGTCCTCCTCCGCGAGCCGATTCGGGGACATGGAAGGCGACCATGGGCGACTGGCGCGAGGTGCTCATCACGGGCAGGATCTACACGGACGGCTCAGCGATGCGCTTCAAGCTGGACGGGGATACGCGAATTTGAGAGAAGGCCGCTTCGGCAGAAGTCTGTTTCAGCAAGTCCACTTCAGCCGAAACGGCTCCGCCGAAGAAGACCTGTCGAAGATGAGTCGTGCCGAAGCGCCGGCTCAGCCGAAGAAGATCCTCCCAAGCGGACCTCTGCCGAATTGGTTTTGCCGAAGCGGCTCTGGCGAAACGGAGCCTCCCGAACCGGACCTCTGTCGAACTGGTTCTGCCGAGGCGGACTTCCGAAGCGGTCCTGCCGAAGGCAACTGCCCAAGCGGCTCTGCCGAAGGGGACCTCTACCGAAATGCACCTGCACCCGCAAGTTTGCATGACCAGACTGTGGTCCTGATAGTG